TAAATATTTTCTATGAGATTGAGCTCATTGGATTGATTTTTCTTTTTTCTTTTTAGCTTCTACATTAAAATTGATTTTTGACAGTTTAATAGACTCTTTTAGAGGAGTTTTAGGTTTACAGAAAAATGGAGCTGAAAGTACACAAAATTATCATATACTCCCTCTATACCTGCCCACAGAAAAAAATCAGATTTTTATACTCTCAAAGATCAAATAGGACACAGAAAAGCGGATTGTTCCCTCTGTTGTGTCCTATAATGCTTTTGACAGTTAAATGAGATGTCAGTGTGTTGTTACGTTGCTATATTGAGATGCATTCAGCGAAAAATAAAGCAAAAGGTGGGCACGTTGAAATTGAGTTATACACTCCTCACATCCAGTTCATTCTGCACTTATGGACTTATTATATGTTAGTCTCAGCTAGTCCAGAACCTAGCCTGAGTCTTTCTTTATTCTATCAGCTTTCCCATTTGTTCTTAGGCTTGACCCACTGCATAACTAGAATATTCTTGTGCTTATCCCTTGAAAAGCTAAGGAAGAACATAGTGGCATAGTTCCATTTAATAATTAGTGATATCTCACCTTGTGTGAAAATATACAGATTGCATTGTAAGGTACCCTATAATGTCCTATATAATTCATCATGTGTGTAACAGAATTCATTTCATGGCAAACCATCTTCATAACTGGTATTTTATTAAAGGTTGAAGGACTAAACTTACTTTATACCCTTTCTGATATCATTACTGTAATAGGAAGGCTCATAACCTCCTCCAGAACTGTGACATGTGATGTAATAAATTAATCTCATTTTATATCTTTGAGCATAAGGAGCCAACGATAAAATATGAGAGTATCATTTTACCAGTTAGGTCTAGCGTGCAGTAAAAGCAGAAAAATCACTTTGTTTGGCTGACTCAACAAACAGAGTTTCCTTGGATTGCTTAGGATTATTATTTTTTCTATGGGCTTCGTCTGGGACTGCACACAGGAGGGAAATAGAAATTATTGATTTTGAACCTTTTTGCTTTCTCTAAATGTAAATGTTTACTGTATAAATTTTCCTCCTAAGCATGGCTTTATGTCTTTTCTGTCATTTTGACTGGGATCGTTCCATAAATGTCAATATAATAGTGTTGAGCAGTCTGCCTGGCATCTTGCTGACTTCTCACTAACTGTAGTACTTAGTCTATTATTTACTTAACACAAAGGGTTTAAGTCTCCAAGTGTAATAGGTGGTTTTGTCGTATTTTTCCTTGTTAGTTATAAACAATTTTAGCTTCAAATATTTTGAAACTCTGTTGGTAGTAAAGCAACTTTGACTTTTTTTTAGTGAAGCAACCATTTTATAATTGTGTAATGTTTCACTTTATTTCTTTAATATTTCTTTTTCTGAAGTCCCATTTGTCTGATGTTTACACAGCCTTTCCAGATTTCTTTTGATTAGTGTTTTCATGGATATTTTTTCCATTCTTTTACTTTTAATCTTTGTCATTGTATTTAAAGTGAGATGGATCTTCTTTAAAAAAGAAATCCGTACTGACGATTTCTGTCTTTAAATATCTGTGTTTAGACCATTTACATTTCATGTAATGTTAGACCATTTCATTTCATGTATTAGTATTAATATGGTTGTATTTAAGTCAATTACTTCAGTATTCATTTTCCACTTCTGCCCTTTGTTTTGGTCTCTTATTATTCTATTACAATGTATCTATTTGATTTTTGATTATTTCTTTTTGTATCATGTTTTTAGTTGTTTCTATTAGGATTGCCTATTACTACTATGCTTACTACTTAATCTTTCATAGTCTGTTTATATTTATTATACTGTTTCATGAAAAATATAGAAATTGTATATAGGTTATTTCACCCTCATTCCTCCATGTTATAGTTGTCAGATGCCTTCTGTCTTTAGACTTTGAAAACTCCATACAGGAAAATTTTTTAACAGTTTTATTTCAACAGTCTATGCATTTTAAATAAATTAAGAAGAGAATTAGTTGTGAATAATGCTTAAATAACTGGAAATACAGATATCTATTTGAGATCCTGATTTCAATTCTCTTGGATATATACCCAGAGGTGGGGTTGCTGGATTATATGGTCGTTCTATTTAAAATTTTTTGAGGAACCTCCATAATGTTTTCTATAGCAGCTGCACCATTTTACATTCCCAACAACACTGCACAAGGATTTCAGTTTTGCCACAGCCTTACCTATACTTAACTTTTAAAAAAATAAGGGTCATCTTGACATTTGTAAGGTGATATCTCATTTTGGTTTTGATTTGCATTTCCCTGAAGATTAGTGATACTGAATACCTTTTCATACACCTGTTGGCTATTTGTCTGTCTTCTTGGGAGAAATGTCTTTTTGAGTCTTTTGCCCATTAAAAAAATTTGTTGTTGTTGTTGTTGTTGTTGTTACTGAGTTTTAGGGTTCCTTACATATTTTGTATATTAGCCACTTATCAATATATGGTTTGCAAATATTTCTCCCTTTCCATAAATTGCTCCATTGCCATACAGAAGCTTTTTAGTTTGATGTAATATTATGGGTTTATTTTTGCTTTTGTTGTCTGTGTCTTTGGTGTCATACCCAAGAAATCATTATCAAGTCCAATATTATGAAGCTTTTTCTCTACATGTTCTTCTAGTAGTTTCACACCTTCTGGTATCATGCTTAAGTCTTTAATTCATTTTGAGTAAGTTTTTGTGTATGGTGTTCAATTTTATTCTTCATGTGGTTTTATAATATGCAAAATACGGAAAAGAAAGTTAAGTGACAAATAAATAAATTGTGGTATATTCATACAATTAAATATTACTCAGCCTTGAAAAAGAAGACTATCCTGCCATTCATGACAACATGATTGAACTTGAAGGAGAGTATGCTAGGTGAAATAACCCAGTCACAAATGGACAAATAATGCATGATTACACTTATTTGAGGTATCTAAAATAGTCAAATTCATAGAAGCAGAGAATAAAATAATGGTTTCCAGGGACTGAGGGGAGGGAGAAATTGGGAGTTGTTGTTCAATGGTTTTAAAGTTTTAGTTGTGTAAAAATCAGTTCTAAAGATCTGCTATACAACATAGTGCCCATAGTTAACAGTACAGGCTTGGGCACAGAGAAATTTATTGTGGGTAAATATCATGTTAATTTTTCTTACAACAACAACAGCAGCAATAACAACAAAAACAAAGAGTCACAAGGAAACTTTTAGAGGTGACAAACGTGTCTATTGCCTTGATTGTGATGATCATTTCATGGTTGTATGCATATGACAAAACTCATCAAATTGCATATATTAAATATGTATAGTTTTTGGTATATAAATTATAACTCAATAAAGCTGATTGTAAAAGAGAAATGAAAACTAGTTTCTTGTATCTTATCACACGTTTACTATTTCTGTTGTACTTCCTTTGTATTTGAAGTTACAGATTTTCCTCTGGTATCCTTTCCTTTCAGCCTGAATAACTTCCTTTAGGACTTCTTTATAGCGGGTCTGCTCACAATGAATTCTCTCAGTTTTCCATTTGAGAATGTTTTTATTTTATTATAATTACTTTGTGATATTTTTACTGGTATACAATTCGGGGTTGACAAAGTTATTTTTCTGTTGGTGTTTTTAAAACGTAACAAGAGATAGATCATGCATTCTTACAGGTCACTGTAAGTACTTTGATGTTACTCTAAGAGAAATGGGGAGCTATTGCAATGATTCGAGCAGATGAGTGACCTATCTATATTTGAAAGCTCTCATTGGCTGCTGTATTAAGAATGTTCTGTAGGAGGACGAGCAGGGAAACCATTTAGAAGGCTATTACAGTATTTCATTGAGATGAGGGTGGCTTGACCAAAGAGATAGCAATGGTCAAACTTTAGGTCAATCTTTTAGTTAGGACCAACTGAATTTCTTGATGGATTCGACGTGAATAGTGAAAGAAAAAATAAGAGTCAAAGATAACTCTGAGGCTATGGGCAGAGATTCTGAAAGAATGAGATGCTGTCAATTGAATAACAAAAGGTAATAGAAGCAGCATGTTGGCAGTGAGGAGAAAGATCAGGAGTCCTGTACTGGTCACACTAATTTAAAATCCGGACCCTCTTCAATGTGATATTTCCAAGCAGAAGGAGGATAGTCATACAAGTCTGTCTCTTCTAGGTCTTGTCTGATGTAATCCAGTAGTAAAAGAAGGAACGTGTTGAAGTCTCTGTTTCTTCCTGGAGTCAAGCACTCCTCATGGCTTGTTCTTCCACCTTTCTCACTTTCATCAAAAGAGAGCTTGCTACAAACAGGTCAGGTTGTGCCCTTGAGTTGCTGAAGACCTCAGTGTCTCAGGAAGTTTGTGTTCAGCTCCTGCTGTAGTCCCAGGCACTGTGTCACTCACAGCACATAAGTACTCAGCAGCATCGCTTACATGGGCTGATGGCTTCCTCAGGTAGAAGGAGGTTTCGCTCTTCTTAAATTCAGCCTCAAAACCTTTGATGCCTTTAACCTGGGTGGCCCCTGATAGGTCCTTGAGGAGAAGCTCAAGGCTTTGGCTGGGGTATTGGACATACCAGAAGAGAGAAGGAATTCCACTATAGGAATAGTTGCACTTCAGTTCCAGAGGGTCTCTTTCAGAGACAATGATGTGGCCATCAAGCTGGGTCACCGACTGGGCTCTGGTTCCTCCTGCAACATCAACACTCTGTTAGTGAGACCAGAACAGATCTACCTGTAGTGAGACAGAGTCTCTATTTAGATTCCGATTGGAACAATGTGCCTTGTATGGAGACGGGAGCAGGGAAACAATGTTATTATACTTACTCAGTGTGAAGAACATTCCAAGCAGTAGAATGACCACTAAGAGCATGGCTAGGCAGTGAGGAGGCTGAGAGCTCTATTCTAGAAGATCTCTGGAAGGAATGTGCCAGAGGATGGTGAGTCCTTATAATGGGGAAAATCTAGGATTCAAGAGTTTCCTGTTTAGTAAGGCCTAGAGACCACTAGTAAGAGCTGCTGTCTTGACAACAACCCCTCTGGTGTTGATCCTACTCAGAATGTGCACCTCAGTGAGCTGTCAGATAAAGCCGCTCAGGAAAGACAGAACTCTTCTTAGCAGAGACATTTCCAGTCTATGAAACATTGCCCTCTGGAGGTCAAACACGGAAACACACTGAGTCTTTAGGGTTTGTGCTCCATTTCCTTGGTTTAAATTTCTTAGCAGAATAATCTGATGACGGTGTTTTCCGGGGTCTGCTTATGAGGAAGCTATTTTAATCTTATCAAGTAAATAGTATTATTTAATCCTATGAATTAAGTAGTATTATCATACTCGCTTTACAAACGCGGAAGCTAAAGCATGGAAGAAAAGATTCCATTTGTCCAAGATCACAGTAAGTGATAGTGATGTAGGTGATCCCCAAAACCAGCCCAACAGATTTCCTGGCTTCACACAGGAAAGAATTCATGAGTGAACTGACAGAGCAAAGTGAAGCCAAGTTTATTGGAGCTACAGAGCACAGAAAAGTGGTTGCTCCATAGACAGAGTAATAGCAGCAGCAGTGAGAGCCCTTGTGGATTGTTGGATAGATATGTATATGGCTATTCTTTGATTATATGCTAAATAATAAATAAATTCATGAATTACCTGGAAAAAGAGCCCTGAACTGAGGGTTCCTCCCCTTTTAAGCTGTATAAGGTAACTTCTGGGGGTTGTCATGGCATTTGTAAACTGTCGTGGTAGTGGTGGGAGTTTCATTTAACATGCAAATGTATTATAATAAGTGTATAATGAGCAGTGGGGCCAATCAGAGGTCACTTTCATCTCCATCTTGGTTTTAGCTGGTTTTGGCCGCTCTCTTTGGTGCATCCTGTGTTGATTAGCTTCTGCTTTGTTCCAGTGCTCAGAAAACAAGTCCTGCTGATCTTCTATCTCAACAGAATTGGAGTTTGTCTCATCAGTATGATTTAATAATCCACATTATTGATCACTGATAACTATTGCATATTTTACACTATAGCCCTTTATAGTAGATCTTATTTATACTGAACAGACAGGAAATCAAATCTTTATGAAGTTAAATAATTTGCCCAAGGACACACAAGGATTGGAATCCAATTCTTTTCCACTCCAAGCTCAGTTCCTTGCTCACTATGTTATCTATGACGTAGCACTACCCTATGAGACTAGATGCAATTTTACCAAGACACATGCTTAGAGCAAAATTTAGAAGAGAATAGAGACTTAAAAAAATACTCAAGGAACCCAAACACTGAAGGTATAGATGGTGGAAAAAGTACTAAAGAAACCTCGAAGCTGGGCACAGTGGCTCACGCCTGTAATTCCAGCACTTTAGGAGGCAGAGGAGGACGGATCACCTGAGGCCAGGAAGTCAAGACCACCCTGGTCAACATGGTGAAATCCCATCTCTACTAAAAATACAAATAATTAGCCGGGCCTGGTGGCTTGTGCCTGTAGTCTCAGCTACTTGGGAGGCTGGGACATGAGAATCACTTGAATCTGGGAGGCAGAGGTTGTAGTGAGCTGACATCATGCCACTGTACTCCAGCCTGGGTGACAGAGTGAGACTCTATCTCAAAAAAAGAAAGAAAGAAAGAAAAAGGAAACCTAAAGGGTATCCAGGGAGGTAAGTGGCAAATCAGAAATGGCTGGATTTCTTAAAGAGAAGGAAAAAGGAATTCTAAAAAGAAATGAATGGCTAACAGAGTGAGTGGTAAATAAATGTCTATAAGATGATAACTTTTTAATGCCTATTGATTTTTTAATGGTGCATAATAATTGTACATATTTATGAAGTACATGTTCCTTTTTGACACATACATACAACGTGTAATTATCAAATCATGGTAATTGGGTTAGCCATCGTTTCAAACATTTACTATTTCCTTGTGTTGACAACATTCCAAATGTAACTATTTTGAAATATACAATAAATTATCGATAACTATAGTCACCATACTGTGCTATTGAACTATTGATTTTTTTAACAACACAAAAATCATGATTTTGATCTTTGCAGCAAAAGGTCAAATGCAGTGGGAAGAGGCATTGTGATGAGACAAGGAAGAAAAAATTTGAATATAGAAATCTCCTTCTAGAGATTGCCGGATCATCTGCAGAGGAGAAAAGAGTCATGGTGTTAAACTGGATGAGGATGTTGAAGTGGTAATGGTAGGGTGTATAAAAATTGGGGTGTATTTACATGCTTTTGGAAAGAATGTATAAACAGTGGATCAAAATTCTGAGGAGACAGATGGGATTGGAATGTGGATTACAGGTAGAAGAACAAAGTTTTGGTAGGAGGAAAAACAATTATTTTCAGTTTTATTGAAATGAAGGAGAAAAGGATTACAGTAGTTAGATTTAAGTGATTCTTTGGAGTGTGAAGGTAGAAATGTGAAACACCTACTACCTTCTAATGGGATCTTTTTTCTTGTTATAAACAGAGATTAAATGTCTCCCAAGAGAGTGAATGGAGGAGGATCTGGGTTAGGAAGTCTGAGGTATGTGAGAAGTTTTGAAATAGCCCAGTAGAAAATGGCAGTGAGATGTGATTACAGAGAAGAAGAATACTTTCCTGGAAACATTGTAGGCCTAGTTAGTGTTGAAAGTAACAACATTTATTTATTTATTGTTATTATTATTAGAGACACAGTCACACTCTGTTGCCTAGCCTGGAGTGCAGTGGCATGATCTCGGCTCACTGCGACCTCTGTCTTCCGGGTTCAAGTAATTCTCCTGCCTCAGCCTCCCGAATAGGTGGGATTACAGGTGTGTGCCACCATGCCTGGCTAATTTTTTGTATTTTTAGTAGAGATGGGGTTTTGCTGTGTTAGTCTGGCTGGTCTCAAACTCCTGGCCTCAAGTGATCTGCCCACCTTGGCCTCCCAAAGTGCTGGGATTGCAGGCGTGAGTCACTGCTCCTGGCTGGTAACAACATGTTTTAATGACACCAATCTGCACACCTGTGTACTCTGATCAGACAAGATATGCATTGTAATAAGGAAGATATGGATTCATGACTGGGAATTAATTAGATCACTGCTATGATGCAGAATTGGCATGAGAAAAAAGAGTTAATGACTAAAGATTGAAAGCAACAGGTCATAGAATCTAAGCGTTATAGGTAACAAAATAAAAGATAAGAAGCTTCTGAGAAATAAGTTGAAAATAAAGGGGAACAAAGCTGGAGGCATCACATGCCCCAACTTCAAACTATACTACAAGGATACAGTAACCAAAACAGCATGGCACTGGTACAAAAACATATACATAGACCAAAGGAACAGAATAGGTAACTCAGGAATAAGACTGCCCATCTATAACTATCTGATCTTTGACAAAGCTGACAAAAACAAGTAACGGGGAAAGGATTCCCTATTCAACAAATGGTGTAGGGATAACTGACTAGATAAATGCAGAAGATTGAAATGGGACCCCTTCCCCACACCATCTACAAAAATTAAGTCAAGATGGATTAAAGACTTAAATGTAAAACCCAAAGCTATAAAAACCTGGGAAGACAACCTAGCAATACCATTCTGGACATAGAAAGGGGCAAAAATTTCATGACAAAGATACCAAAGGCAATTGCCACAAAAGCAGAAATTTACAGATAGGATCTAATTAAACTAAAGAGCGTCTAAACAGCAAAAGAAACTATCTACAGAGTGAACAATCTACAGAATGGAAGAAAATTTTTGCAAACTATGCATCAGACAAAAGTCTAATATTCAGCATCTACAAGGAACTGAAACAAATTTACAAGAAGAAAAAACCCTAACAAAAAGTGAGCAAAGGACATGAACAGATACTTTTCAAAAGAAGTTTGTATAAGACATACATGCAACCAACAATAATATGAAAAAAAGCTCAACTTCACTGATAGTTAGAGAAATGCAAATTAAAGCCACAATGAGATTCCATCTCACACCAGTCAGAATGGCTATTAGTAAAAAGTCAAAAAATAACAGATGCTAGCAAAATTGCAGAGAAAAAGCAACACTTATATACTGTTGGTAGGAGTGTAAATTAGGTTCAACCATTGTGGAAGACAGTATGCCAATTCCTCGAAGATTGAAAAACAGAAATACCATTTGACCCAGCAATACCATTTCTGGGAATATACCCAAAGGAATATAAATCATTCTATCATAAAGACACATGCTCATGTATGTTCACTGCAGCACTGTTCACAATAGCAAAGACGTGGAATCAACCTAAATGCACATCAAAGACTGGATAAAGAAAATGTGGTATACATACACCATGGAATCCTATGCAACCATAAAAAGAAATGAGATTATGTCCTTTACTGGAACATGGGTGGAGCTGGAGGCCATTATTCTCGGCAGACTAACTCAGGAACAGAAAACCAAATACTGCACATTCTCACTTATAAGTGGGAATGAAATAATAAGAACCCATGGACACAAAGAGGGAAGAACACACACTGGGGCCTACTTGAGGGTGGAGGGTGGGAGTAGGGATAGGATCAGGAAAAATATCAAATGGGTACTAAGTTTAATACCTGGGTGACAAAATAATCTGTACAACAAACTCCCATGACACAGAATTGCCTATGTAACAAATCTGCACAAGTTTACCTGTATAACAAACCTATTTTAAGTTCCATACCCCTGAACTTCAAACAAAAGTTAAATAAAAAAAGAAAAAGAAGAGAAAGGTGTCAAGGGACTAGATGACCATTATAGTCAAAGAACAAGTACAATGTGAGTAACTGAGGGTGAGAATCTCAGGGTGGGAGGTTTTAGACTGCAGGTAAGATTTCAGAGCTGGAACAGCACATTGTCATAAGACCTGTCTAGATTGTGGCTATGGAAGTTAATGACTAAAGGGGATTCAAATTAATGGTCTTTAAAGTTGATGAGTTCGGGCTTCTCACTGAATGGCTCATGTGGATATTTAAGTCATGCGGTATTTAGGTTACAGTGGAATCTGTGTCACACCTTTCAATGTGAGGAGGGCTGTTTGCTGTTTATGAGGATGGTAGTGACAAGAGGAAGAGCAGTAGAACAAAAGGAATGGGCCTCAAAGCTAATAGCCTGGATTGTACCAGGGGACAAAGAGTATGCTGTCGATGCCTCTAAAGCCAAGGTGTTTTAGATGCAGGAGAATGCCTAAAATCTGCAGTCATACATCTGTGTTTAACAGCTGTACTCTTATTCATATAATAGCCTGGGAACAAGAAAGGAAAACTAGGATAAAAACACTTAAATTTTTAGTTTTAGTTCACAGATCACTTGGTAATTAATATGAGGCCAGTGTATTATTTTTGTTTTTATTGTATCCTCATAGCAAATCTAACTCATGTCCCTAGTATTGTATTGTATCCTTAGTATTTGCCAGTAAAATCCTCATAGCGAATCTGTCTCATGTCTCTAGTATTTTATTGTATCCTTAGCATTTGCCAGTAAAATTTTCCAGTTATAAA